AAGTAAAAGTCCTACTGCCAACCAAGCCCACATGATTCTCCTAGAGACACATGAAACCTTAATGAACGGTGCCCTCACTGTTCTTGAAAGAATCTGGTTTGCCATCACTTTGTTGAATTTGGACTCTGTGTATTTGTAAAGGATATAAACTCTAAAGAAAGGGCTGGTTTTCTTCCTCAATAAGGTCTGTTCCCCCTAACAGCAAGATATGAAATGAAATGCAGGCATTTTGCTAAATCATGGTAAATCTTTCTGACAGCTACAGGGGCAGAATGATTCTTTATCAAGGGGCACAGACAAAAGGGCTGATGCCCCAAGCTTATAGATCACCACACAATGCTATACCCAGCACAGAGAAGTCACAGCTTCTGTGGTCACGATAGTGCCTTTATCTGCAATCTCAGACTTTTGTGTTTATCTGTCTTGGTCTTTATCTCCCACTGATTAATCCAAGTGTCTGGAAGTAAGTATGACCCACTCTCCATTGGTCATAATAATATAGTGCAACAGTAACAGGGAACATATGGAGAAGAAAAAAAGGTCGAAGTGTGCACGTGACCACATGTAAAATAAACAACAAGGATTTCCTGTATAGCACAGGGAACTATATTAAATATCTTGTAATAAACTATAATGAAAATAATCGAAACATAAAAAATGGATATACACATATATACGTATAACCAAATCACTTTGCTGTACACCTGAAACTAACACATTGTAAATCAACTACACTTCAATTGAGAAAAAGTCAAAGTGTGGATTATTTATATATAAGCCGCAGATTTACCTCCTTAACCTTTATTGCACTTTAATACCAAAATTAGCTTGCATTTCCTAAACGAACATTGGTGAGAAAGAGGCCTATCTGGGATTAAAATGAGTAGATAATGTCACTTAGGAAACGTTTTCTAAGTTTGGATCTTGATTCTATTACTTTTCTTTCATTCCCCTCCAGCCCTCCACACCCAGAAGCAGTGTGCCAGTGGCGCCTAGAGAAGCACCTGTGGGTGAGGTCTGCAGGATCAAGATGTGTGGGGAAACCAGACTCTGTCCTGCTGGTGAAGACGTCAAAGCCAGGAGTAGTTCTCTGTATCCTATCACTTGCTTGCGTGCACTTCCAGAAAAGCCGAGTTCACAGGTACTTTCAGACCAGAGACAGGTGGGAGTGCGCGGGACGCGGCAGGAGGGCTCAGCGAATCTGAGAAGAGCGCAGTGCACGTGCCACGGGGGCTGCTGGCGCCCGAACTTCCTCCACCGCTTCGTGCTGCCTCTGCTTCAACCCCGCTGCTCCTGGCTCACGGCCGGGAAATGTTATGATGATTTTCACTTGTTTCTTGCTTGACACATTCTTCCGAGTTCGTGTTTTCCTGCCTGTTTTTAAGAAAACCAGACCCTGCCGTCTCTGTGCACTACGAAGTAGCAGACCAGTCTCAGGGTGCGGGAGGGGCTTTGGGGTAGCTGCCAGTGTTCCGTGTGTAGCGGCCTCCTCACCCTTTACGCCACAGAGGAGCGACGGAGGCTTGCTGGCTGGAAACCCTTCCGCCTTCAGCGCTTTGTTCTCTGGCCCACCAAGGCAGTGCAAGCGAGCGCTGCCCTGTGACTTCCGGCTCTCCCGGTGGAGAAAGGGGACAGAGGGGCCGCGTTATGGCGGAGCCCGCCCAGCGGGGCTTCAAGGAGCGCAGCATCATGCTTTCCCTTCTCCCCCGTTACGGCTCCTGCTCCCGTCTGCAGGGCGAGGAGCAACTGCAGGCTCCCGGGCCGCGGCGGCGGGGTCTGGCCAGAGCGCGGCCGCCGGGTGTCCGGAGGCAGGCCGCTCCACGGCTCCGTCCAGGAGCTGAGGAGGGGCCAGTAATGGCACCGCTGCGTCCCAGCAGGGCGCCGACGCTTGACAAACCCGCTCTTACACGTGATCTCGATTGACTCTCAAAAGGGTTGTAACGTTTTCGCCCCTTTTTCTACGAGAGACCTGAGTCTCGGTGCAGGTGAGTTACCCAACCACATGGCGTCCTCAGAGCCGACTAGGTGGCAGGGCGAGGACTCCGCCACCTCATATGCAGGCAGCGGCGGGAACAGGCCGGGAGGGAGCAAGGGGGTCAGGAGGGGCTGAGGCAGGAGCCGAGTCCCAGGGGCAGGACCAGGCCAGGCGGTTTGCGCGCGTGTGGTCGAGCCCCCCGTTCCCGGTAGCAGGCCTGCAGATGACAGACGCTCTCAGGGGGACTCTTCCTTGACCCCCGCCGTGCAGAGGGAACCCACCGAGGTCCCTCACCCGCCGGGCCCTCGTGCCCACAGGCCCCCTCCGCATGACCCCCCCGGGGCTCCCGCCTCGGCTCTCGCCCCTCCCTCCCCACCCACAGGGCTCGCCCTGTGCTGGGCCGCACGCAGCTGTCTTTAAAATGTCTGGATTGCTGTAACATACACCAAAATGTGCCCTCTCGGCCACTTCGAAGTGTGCAGTTAAGCAGGGTTACAGACACTCACACTGGTGTAGACGGGTCTTCAGGACTGCTTCCTCTCCCGTGAGGCGGAACCTCCGCACCCGCTACACGGCCACCCCTGGCCCTCGACCGCCATTCCATCTGTCCTGTGGGCCTGGCCGCTCGGGGCACCTCAGATAAGAGGCCAGACAGGATGTGTATGCCGGGGACTCCCCGTAACTCTACCCACCTGGTTCACTGTGCTCTCCACCTGGACACCTCCCCATTGCTTCACCGGCCAATTCCCGTTAATCCTTTAGGAGTCAATTCCGATGTTATCACCTCAGGCTCTCCCTGGCTCCCCAGCCTCAATTAAGTGCCCCTCCTGTATATTTAGTGGTGCATTAGCTGCACCCAGTTGGAGGTGGCGACCGAGTCCTAAGCCCCTGATACTTGAGGTGCGGTTGCGGGCCTGCATTCTCACTGGCTACCCCTGGGAGCTTGAGAGAATGCAGTTCGCTAGGCCTTTACCAGGGCGCCAGGTCACTCAGGCACACACTCCAGTTCAGCAAGCACTGTTCTCACTGGACAAGGGGGCTGCAGAAACTGCTCCTGGGCTCAACCCAACCGGCTGCCCTGTGTGAACAAAGCTTTCCGCCGACAGCCGGTCGTCTGAATACACATTGCCTGTGGCTGCTTTCACACCACAGTGGAAGGGCTGAGCGGCTGCAACAGACCATCATGTGGCCACACAGCCTAAAACGTGTGTTCCCTGGCCCTTTACCACAGACGTCTACTAGACCATAGGCTCCTTCAAAGTGAGAACCCGTCTTACTTTGCTTTGTAATTAGCACAATGGTTATGTGTGTGGGCCTGAGGGCAGACTGACAAGATTTCTATCTCAGCTCTGCCATTTCCCTCAAGTGACTGGCAGGTCACCGTCTCTGTGCCTCATGTTCCCTTATAAAGTGGGGACAGAGAGTAGAACTACCTCACAGGGCTGATGTGTGGGTTACGTAAGGTAATGGACGTGAAGGGCTTCACATGGCACCTTCCGCAAACGTTACCCTTAGCTGGTTCGCTATTTTTAGAGCACCGGGGACTTTGGTGATGTTGGCAGGATGGCCCCTGCACCTGACACTGCTTATCAACGCCCATTCTCTGCTTCTTCCTTGCTAACATCTAATTATTTTTTCAGGTATCTAATCTTCCGGGAGAGTGACCTCCTCCCTGGGCGACAAACACGACTACGAGCCAGTCGTGGTCATGCATCCTCAATGTCGGTGGACTGGCTTAGGGGCGGGCAGTTCTGGCCAACGAGTCAGGAGAAGAGGAATCTTGGAGGGCTTCTGGAAAACGGTTTCCTCATTCTTTAGAAGAAAACGTGGGAGAGATGCCCCCGTTCTTTCATGGATATTTGTTATATGTGAATGTGATGCCCTGAAGCGCAGCAACTATGAAGATAGGCGGTCTGAGGACGAGCTAACATGTTTACAAGGGCAAAGCAAAAAGATGGGAAGAATCTGGGCCCTCTATGAGGTCAGAGTTGTTGAATCCATCAACCCCTGGGCCTCACCCACTCAGGTACTGATCTGAGGGAAGACAATAAATGTTTCTAGTAATTTAATTTCAGGCTAAAGCCACCTAACTCATATAGCCAGGGACCATGTTGACACATATTTTTACTCCGCCCAGGACCTAACAACTGTTGTTGGGTGCCATGAGCAAAGGAAGAGTGGAAGTTGGAAATGAATGGGCTGGGTAGGGCAAAAGGAGAATCACGAATGTTCCAGGTTAGTGTAGGTCCAATTCTTCATTCATCGCTCTCTCAGGTGGAGTATCTTTTCCTGAGACCTGTGGCTCGCTCCCAAACGCTTATCTCCCTTGTTGTCTGAACCTACTACCTAAACATGGGAGGTCGTTTCAGAGCCAGATGGGGTTTGATTACTTCCTTGACGATATCCATTATTTCCCTTCTGGGTAGGAGGAGGGTCTGCAGACAGCTGATCTTTTTGGGGCAGAGAGTATGGAGGTGGGGTCTCTTATAGAACACGAAATACAAGGAGGTGTCCTTTGGGCTGGAAGTATCAAAAGATTGCTTAGAATTTACCATTATAGGGGTTTAACGGTGTTGTCAGCTTGTGTACTGGTTTTGTGTCATATCTGAGCCAGAACTGGTAGCAGAGATTCAAAGCAATATAGGTGGCCAGTACACATGAGAGCAAAGCATGGGGAGGGAAGGGCAGCGGAGCACGGGGCCGCCCCCACCTCTCCTGGAGAGCACCCTGGCCCTGGCGGTGGGAGGGAGGGGCAGCACGGTGTCGCTGGGCCCCCTGCAGTCCCTCACCCTGCAGACACTTACCACAGGGAGAAATGCTGAGCGGCTTCTCCTGTGAGTGCCCCGGGTGGGAGACGCTCTGAGAACTCTGGAGCCACAAAGTGAAACAATGAACTTTTTGTTTTGCTTTGTTTTTGGTTTTCTTTTGCCTTACGCGGGCCTCTCACTGTTGTGGCCTCTCCCGTTGCGGAGCACAGGCTCCGGACGTGCAGGCTCAGCGGCCGTGGCTCACGGGCCCACCCGCTCCGCGGCATGTGGGATCTTCCCGGACCGGGGCACGAACCCGCGTCCCCTGCATCGGCAGGTGGACTCTCAACCACTGCGCCACCAGGGAAGCCCAACAATCAACTTTTAAGGCAGAAGGAACCAAGTGACATGACCTTATTCATCCCCTTGCCTTTAGGCACTAACAGTACCACTAAAGCCCCCAATTACCTCACTACATGTTTGATGGTTAAAAGCCTTCCGGGGTGGGGTGCGGGGAAGCAGAAAGATTTCACAGCTTTCTCCCGTGAGCCGTTTTAATCTAAGAGAACTTTGACACTTGTCCTAGACCCACCCTGTTCTCGCCAGTCCAACCCCAAGACCCTCCTCCAAGTGGAAGGGTCCCAGTTCAGTGGCATCAGGCACGCCCCAGCAAGCGCAAGCTAAAGGGACGAGGGTGAGCGAACCCCCCGCGGTGAGACCTACGTGCAGCGCCTACCTCCTGGCTCTCCGTCCCTCCTTTCCTTCCACCAATTTCTACGAATTGTCCGTCTTTCTAATGGACGCCATGCCTTTGCTTTCACCACTGGTGCTCTTCAAGACTAATTAGATCCTGAAGGAACAGGAAGTAAAAAGCTGTTTCTGGGTAAGCCGCTAATGTTCTTGGCTTAGAGTTAAAGTTCCCTGCCAGAGACCTGCAGAGAGAGAACCCTCACTCCTCTGGGCATTCTCAGCCAAGAAGCAAGTGCTTCCCTTCCCTCGGGCAGCTCTGGGCTGAATATGCAACTTGCCATCCGATTGGGTTGAAGAAAGACTGAGGAGGCCACAAAGGTCAAAACTCACTTGCTCTTGGGGAGCGGGTTAGAAAGCTAGTAAAGAAAACCTGCGGTGCAGCTGTCTTTCAGGAGAGGGTACGGAGGGTCGGGTGGATCTACCAGAAGTGTTGTCAGTCTGTGCTGAGGTCTTTGGGACAGGAAGAGTACAGCCACCCAGGGAGAAAGCCTGCAGTGACACCCTCTACGGGGCCGATGTGCTGGAAGCACGCCTTGAGAAAGGCTTCCCTCCCTCTTGCGGGGCTGTTGGGAAGCTAGGTAGGACCAGGGGTCTGGCTTTCAAGAGTGGTCCCAAATGAATTTTCAGTTTCCTGGTGGGAACAGAGAACTCAGAAGATTGTCTTCTCTAAGAAAATCTGGCTATGGTTTTTCTCCTGGTCTACCTAGAGCCTGCACTGGTGCGTGAGGCACACGTGTGCACAGGGCCAGGCTGTCGGCAAACAACCTTAGGGAGGAGGGCAAAGGAGAGGCAAAAGGGGCTCATTCCTCTACCTCACAGCTTCCTTTTCCAAAGGAAGCAGGATCCGCCCACCAGCAACAGTCCAAACACCACCAAAGAGGCATGGAAATGGGTATGCATGCAACTGGTCCATATACCCCCTCATCGCCTGCTACAAATGGAGTATAAGTTGGGGGAGAACTGTGCCACTGAGACCCCAGGCCTTCTGAGCCACAGCCCAGTTCCAGAGGCACAGCCCTCCTGACTGGTCTCTGGGTGGCAGAGTAGTGCTCTCTTCCTAACCTTCGAAGAAATGGGTGAAATAACCTCCGGTTAAGGGGAGATGCCCATCTTCCTGGGGCTGCCTGGGGTGTCTGCGGCAGAGCTGGTTATGGCGGACACCTCAGCAGAGGCACTGAGATCCAAGAATTCCAGGATGACGTCCCAAAGGCAGTAAATCAAATGCCTGAAACAGATGGACAAAACAACTCAGAGCAGGGTCTGGCTCGCTCTAGAGACACCAGATCCTGTTTATGACATTTATCTTCCCTCTCCCTTTCCCCTCTACTGATATCCTTAGTGGACTCCAAACATCAACAGCTGGACAAAGCCTCTGTCATGAAATGAAAGTCTGTTGAACTCATAAAGGCTATGACCCCAGTAAAGGTGGAGATGGTACTCGAGACTAGATGTTAGGAAATTCCACATTGCTTTATAGCTAGCTACATTAGCACATTGGCACTGCTCTGAAGAACTCTAAAGGAGGGAAAAATCCCTGTGATAACAACTTACTAAGAATCTTCAGGTTACCTGTGATGAGGTAAAGCCAGGAGCCTTGAGGTGCGAGAGTGAGCAGACACGGTGAGCTGCAGGACGGGGGTGAGAGGGGAGTGGGCGAGCACTCAACACGTGCAGAAGATTCCACCCCAAGGCACCAGCCAGGGAAGCACTGACCTCTCTGCACTATTCAAGGAGGTGCACCAGCATTTCTGGTCCCCTTATCAGAGGCCAACTCCTCATCTTGTCTACCTCACATCAGGCAAAGACCCATGCTGAAAGTACTGCCCAGGCCAAGGGCTGCTCTCGAGATGCTCACAGGGGCAGGCAGGTTGTCAGGAAGAACAGGCCTGGGGGTGACAGGGCCTTTTCAGTAGCTCACGTCGGGGCCTGCATCGAGTTCTTCCAAATGCAAACGGTGGCTGGTCCCACCAGCTTCCGACCACCTGACACCTGCTCAGAAGCCAGCACAGTGGGTTTTACCCAGTGTGCGTGGACCTGGTCATCACACTCTGGGGCCAGGGCCCAGGGCAAGGAGAGACTGCGGCACCGTTCCTCTCAGTGAAGCTGTTCACCCAGAAACCCGAGATGCCTCAGACCAGAGACGGCATCAGCCATGCCTACCGGTTGATGAGGGGCTGCTGCAGTGACTCCAAGACAAGACTCCAGCTCAGCCGGCATTTGTTCGCCCCAAGGATTTCTACGACGATATCTGAAGAGGAAAAACAGATGTGGTTTTAGTGTCACCGCTGAAGCTTTAGCTTCTAAGGGGTTTGTCTCCTCAAGATATCTGCTGTCTTTAATCATATTGGGTACTTCTGGCACACCTCTGAACCACACATCCAAACTAAAATCGTCAGAAAATAGGGAAAAGCCAAGAAAAATGTTTCTTAACTTTAGGTATCTAAATTAGAATGGGCCTCAAGAAACAATTTGGTAACCCGTCACTAAAGTGCAGGTACTTCTGATACAACAGGTTAGGTTGGAGAACAGAGGTAAGTAAGAGTGAATAACACTGTCCAAGGCTAAGAGCTCACTGCTGTACCCTGCTTCCCCCAGCACAACCGGAGGCAACAAACTGCCTTCCCCGCCCTCCAAAAACCATATAAAGCAAAGGGGAAAAGCCTTCTTCAGAGTTTGTTTTTATCTACTGCTAAGGACCATGCACTTCACTCACTGGCCCCAAGTTACCAAGCTCAGCTTCTGCAGGACCTGTATCATTTTCTTCCCTGGTCCAAAGCAGAGACCCAGAAGTCTTCATCTGGTGGGAAAATGAAGAGACCTGCCCTAAAGTGAGCCTTCCCATTCCCTTAGCATCACTGGAAGTCCCGATCATTTTCCTGTTAGCCTCAGAAATGGTGGGTCAACAAATTTTTGCGTTTAGCCACAGTCAAGGCCCTGGTAAAAAACGGGGAAGGGTGTGGCTAATGGTGGTGAAGCGGAGGGGAAGGAACAGTTATTGGTATAATCGGTCTCACTGTCCAATCACCTGGCAGGACTCCCATCAGGCTCTGCAAAGCCTGTTTCTCAGCAGCCGCCTTCTGCTCCTTGGTCCTTACGGGTCGAGGATACTCAGGCAAAAGCCCGCCAGGCCAGATGGATTCCTGAAGAAGCCGGAGGTACTGCACCCAGCGCTGAGGACACGTCAGAGTAGCTACCTGCACCTCTAGCCACCTGTGGTCGAAGACAGAAGGGTCAGGTAAACCTGGAGGAAAGGATGCAGTGAGGTGTGAGTCATGTGAGCAATCAGAACAGAGCAAAGCCAAGTGAGCACCGACTCTCACAGGTGAAACCAAGCCAATCAACAACTTGGGATCACAGAATTTGAAGATGAGTAATAATATACTATCATAATTATTCACTGAGTGTCTGCTATGAGGCACGTGTAGTATTAGGGACTTTAGAACAGAACATTAAAGGGGCCTGTGGCTCTGGGGAAGGCTGCACCTTTCCAACTGTCCTCCAGTGGAAAGCACCAGAACTTCTCAGTAACGTGTACACACAGCCTTCAGAGTGCAGGGTTTGGTGATTTTGTACAAATCCCTCTCCACAGCCACCCTGTCCGTATCCAGTTGCTCTTCAAGCCCCCAGGACCTGTCCTGAGGACTCCCTTCGTCTGCCCCTTGCTCCTTACACACCAGGCCTTCTGCGTTCCAGTAACAGAAATCTGTCCCTCTGGCAAAACCTGTTCAAACTCCACCTCCTCCACGAAATCCTTCCTGAGCATTCCAGCCAGAAATGCTCTCTCTCCTCAGGCCTCCTCTGGCACTCAGTTCTAGAACACAGATTTGGCACCAGAACTTCACTTTGGAACATGAATTCTCTTCTCATGTATGCACAGCTTGACTTTTCCAGCTGAACTGTAAGCTCCACAAGAGTCCCCATAACAGAAACTTCCCAGGTGAAATAGTGGTTGACTGACTGGCAATTGTTCTTATTACAATGACAATTTACCCCTCTGTCTTGCTTTCAAAAACGAGTCAGTAACTCTGAGGGGGCAGGTATACCAAACCTGCAGTTCCTGCAAGGCGTTTCAATGTTAATTCTCTGTTTGTCTCTGCATTTCTTCAGAGTGATACGGTCACTAGCTGGGGTTTAAGACTGCAGAGGCCTCCTTAGCAGGTCCCATTTTGAGACTGGCATGGCTGTGGCTGTGATGAATGAACCATGAGCCACGTTACTCACGCACAGAAGACTCTATTTGGTACCGCACCACATGCAGCTCATGCCATCACTCTCAACCCGAGCTACTTGTCGCCCATCCAAGAGCAGAGGGGGCTGCCAACGCAAACTTTATTTAACCTCCACTCTGCCAGACAGTCTGCATTCCACTCAAGCTAGGCATTCCAGCTTTGGGGGCTGCAATCCCCCAAGCCCAGGGCTCACAAATGATTCTAAGAATAGGAAGTCTGAAAGGTAATGGCAGGGCAAGAATGGCAGACGTCGATGGACATCAAGAGAGGCACAAAGCTGCTCCTGCCTAAAATAGCCACCACAATTGTATTGTTATTATTAGGGCCGCATCTCCTTCTTACAGGGCTTTTCATTCAGTGAGTCTAAGACGCCTGATGAAAGGGATCCAGTAGCAAGAATTCCTGTTCCTGTTTATAGAAGAGGGTCACCAAAGGGAGGTGGATGCGATGACCTGATCAGGTTCTCTGCAGGGAATCAAGTGACCCAACTCGTCTTCACCTCAAGTCACATACACTTGTGTGACTTTAGCTAAGGTGAAGGACCTGCACCAGCGTCTCACCTAAGTGATTTGAGGGAGAGGGGCAAGGAGCTGAGAGTCAAAAAATTTAAGTCCTCCAAAGGAGCCAGGAGAATCCTCAACAAGAAGGCTTCAGCCAGCATTAGTTCTAGCTCAGCTTCTCATGCACAGACGCATACAACAGGCTGGCTTGCCCTTCTGTTTGCCCTTCTCTTTGTCCTCAGGAGCCAGTAGTACCTGTGACTCACCTCTTCAGAGAGATCTTAACATCCACTCAACCCTTCCTCGGCTAAGCATAGCATACGACAGCAAACCTGGGCACCTCGGTCACCTTCAGGGCACGTTTTACAACATATGAGTCTCACGGTTTTGAATTAGTGGTCATTCACTCGATGGGAACAGGACCTCGAGCTGCATTTGGGCAAGCAGGTCCTCTTTGTTCCCTTCCACAGTGACTGAGTGTCTCATGCACACATGCTTGACGCAAAACAAATGTGTACACGTGGCAAAATATAAACTTATACAAATATACTAGACTGTACCTCATCAAACTCTAAATGGGGGCATTGGGAAGAAGAACCAAAGTGTGAAAAAGTTAAGAGTAAGCTGTTCTTAACCTAGGAGTGGGAAGGTTAAAAAGAAATCTGTGTCTTGAAGCAAAAGGAATGGAACTTATGTGTCTGCAGTCCAGTGTGTCACAACAGTTTTCCAGCATCAGTTTCTGGAATCTGCTGCTATCACTATTAAGCTAACAGACAGCTCAAGTTTCAAGGGGGATATACACACACATATCCCTTGGACTATTTACTATTTACAAATTATTTATAAGAAATCATCTACTAAATACAAATGTTATTGTTTACGTAATACAAGATGCATGAGGTAAATACACTAAAATAAATAAGGTAGAGAATAGCCTCAAATAGCACTGGTTTTATTTTCTACTACTATTCTAGTTCTGATACTCGATTTAGATATCTTCTTCTACCATCCTACCTTTTTCCCAAAGAAAAGAAGAAGAAAAAAAGCCAAACCACATCTGTTCCGTCTGGCCATCTCTGAATGATTCAGAGCACCAAGAAGCCTTACTAGGGGGCCCAGAATAGGCAATAAAATGAGAAAAAAACAACAACAGATGTAACTGAGACATGCAAGAGCCTCTATGATGCCAGACGTGGGATGCAGAGATCAGGGCATCCATTCCACTGGGCGCGCATGTCCAGTCCACGCTCAAAGGAACCTGGTCTGAAACAGCTATACGTAGAGGGATGAAGCAGTGGCTATAAAGGAGACAGTTTAATACTAGGGCTTAAGATGGCACTTCAAGGTTAGCAGAAGGTCATTTTCCATCAAAACAGCAGAATCAAATCTCAAGAGTAAGGGGAGAAAGCTTTAAGGGACCACATCTAATTAGCCAAATTCCCCTCACTTCTTTTCTAAGATTGCTGCTATGGCTGAGTAGGAAGGTCCTGAATAAGTATGGCTTAATGGGGAGGGAGGGGGAGAAGGACAGTGAAATAATAACAGAAAATATTCACAAGAGCAATAACAATATTCTAACAAAAATGCCTGGTGCAGTCTAAATGAAAGACAGTAACAGACTGCTTCCTGAATCCTCTTCACCCACTGGGCTGTACCTCTGTATCCAACACAAGGGCGATGATGCCTCAGCCACTTACAACCAACCGGAAGTACCAAATACAGGTCAAAGAGAAAGAGAGAGAAAAAGAAGATGACGTTAAAGCTTCTGTCACTTTACACAGATCTACAGATTGCAAGCGCCCACTCATCCCATCACCCTTACAGCAGGGTTAGCAGTCATCTAAATGGGTTGCTGGGCACAGGATATTTCTCAAACTGTGGCTGGACAGCATTAGAGGTCATGGCGTCTACTCTGTGGTTTGTGACAACGTTTAAAAGAACACCTAAATGTAAATAGGTAAGAACAGAAAACATAAAAGTGCACCTCAAGTTTTGGGACCCTTTTACTTATGCATGTATATATGGATATAGCAGATCTGTATTTGTGTGTGTGTGTGCATGTGTGTGTTCAGAGTGGGTCATGATGTAAAACATATTTTTTACTGTAAGATGAAGTTTAAAAATTGTTTGAAAAACATCGCTATGGTACAAGGAATTAAGAGTTCCAAGAGAAGGAGGAAAAAGCTCAAGCCACATCTTTAGCCTCCTGGAGACAGTCCCCACCTCCACCCGCCCCCAAGCGCCCTGTAAAATGTTTACAATGGCATAAACCCGAACACTGTGTTCTGTACCACAGTCCTAGCACACTGCTCTGAGCATTTGCTCGTGAAATCAGTAGGCCCAATCTACTGGGTGGAGAGAAAGGAGATCTTGAGGATGACGGTGCGGATCCAAGGTATTTCCCATTTTACACAAGTTGTTTTTGCCAACTTCACACCTGATAAAAGTAACAGTTCCCTTCCCTCTGATTCCTTTCCCAGGCCTCTGCCTTCCTGCTATGGCCCCTTCGTGTGTTTACAGACAGTCCCTCCCAGTCTGTGCTCAGCTCTAGGCTTCCCAGTCCTACAGCAGCCGGACCCAGGTTGCTCGGCTGTGCCTGAGAGAGTTCAGCCCCTCTGACTGTGTATCTATGTCACCATCCTTTCCTGCCCTGTGTGGGGAGAAGAATGAGGAGGAAATGAACTTCAAGGGCAAGAAACTCCTGTTTCTTCCTCCCAGTGACTATTGTGAAATCTGAAGAGTCTCACACAATTTCTTCTTTGATTTTTGCTTTTTCATGGTTTAAATCATGGATCCACATCTTTAAAACATGTGCTTCAAAGGAAGACTACTGACTGAACATCATGATTTAAGAATCTGAGTTCTCTAGTTTTATAACTAGCCACAAAGTTTTTGTTTTTGATTAGTAACATATAAGTTGCAGATACAAAATTAATATGCTTTAATAATTGAAGTATTTTTAACCAAGGAGGTTAAAGAAATCCTCTGTTGAACCTTAGAGGTTATCTTTTCCAATCTCACCAATTCACGAATGAAAACACTGCGAAGAAACAAGCATTTCATAGCAAGAGGCTTATAGAAACATACAACTTTAGAGCTGGAAGGAAAGAGGATACCCTATCTAACCTCCTCCCAAAGTAGAAATCCCCTGTGTGATATCGTGGCAGAGCCAAGGGTTCTGGCCTCTGACTCCAGAAAGTTGGGCTTTTATCTTAGCTCTGCCACCAATGAGGAATGTGACTTTGGGGAAGTTGCTTAACTCCTGAAGAGGGTAATTTCAATTCATTAGGGATTCTTCTTAAATACTGGCACCAAAATCTGCCTCCTTGTAACTTCCAGTCATTGCTCCTATTTATACCCTCAGAAGTTTAACAGGAGGTATTAAAGTTACTTGGTCAAATCTCTTTCAAAAGACAACACTATGCATTTTTAAATTCAGCTATTATGCTAAGTCTCCTCCACAAGGTATACATCTTTGATT